TCAGCCTCCACCAATACGATGTGTAACATCATCGTAAATTTCTCCATTACTTAAGATAATAAATTCAAGATACTTAAAACTTCCTTTCTTATGGATGACTTGTCCATCAAGCCGCACCTCCATGCCTTCCTTACGCGTATGTCACTCAATTTGCACTACAAGTATTTTGTTTTGGTCCTGTTCATTTGCCTCTAGACTCCAAGGTTTGTCTCCAAACCTCAAGCTTAGTGTTAACTCTATCCCGAGTTTCGTTGATCAGTACTACGTCATATGCAAATAATATACACCATAACACCTCATCTTGAATTTATGTGTCATCCATTTATTATTAAGGCAAAACAAAAATAAACTAAGAATTGATCCTTGGTGCAACCCGTTCACAACTGGAAAGTGCTCTCAGTCCTTACTCACTGTCCTTATCCGAGTCTTGGCTCCATCATACATGTCCATAGTAGCCCAGGTGTATGCCACACGAAAGCCTTATAAGCACTTCCGTAGAACCTTTTTCAGTTTTTTGCCATAAGCCTTTTCTAAGTTGATAAACACCATGTGAAGTCGTCCTTCTTCCTCTCCTTATATTGCTCCATCAGTTTCGTACCCAGATGAATGGCTTATGTAGTTAAACACCTCTGACATAAATTCGAACTAAAATATACATATTCTTCCTCACCATTGTTTCCACCATTCTCTCAAATCTTTATAATGTAACTTAAATGGCAGCTTGATAACTTTATAGTTACTGCAATTTTGAATATCACCCTTACTCTTGTACAACAGAACCATCATACTCCACCCTCATTCTTTCTTCTAACATATTTGCCATCTTAAACGACTTATTGAAACTACTTATTACTATCAATTTAAATATTTTTTACCCAAGCACATAACTACTTCCAAATTCAATTTCGACATTTGAAACTGTTTTCAACACTTAACAAATACTCCCTTATTATTAAGGTTTTCTTTCGCAACTCATATATCTTATTTTGAATTTGAAAGTTTTATTAGAAGCATTACATTACAAGAATATCTATGTGTGGGTTGTATATTAATTAATGTTGACTACATAACAACCTTAGGAAAGAAACTAGATTAACCAAAAAAACAAAGAAAAAAAATGAAACTTGAGGTTTATTATAGCTGTCCATATACTAAAATATTATTCCTCCCCAACCTAAATTTCCCTTTGCATTATTTACAAACAAAATGACAAAAATCACATGCCTCTCCCCTTATTATTCCACATCTCAAAAAAAAAAACCCTTTTTAAATCCTTATAAATTTACCCCACTCCCACTTTCCTCTCTCTTTATCAAAAATCTCCTCCTTTAGTTTTCTCCCATCTTTCCATAACCCAAAAAAAAATGGCGAAAGTGAAATCTCTCTCTATTATGTTCATCTCATCCATTTTCTTCATCGTTATTGTAGCGCTTTCATCGCCGGCCGTTGCTGGTTCCGCTGCGGCAGTAGCATTTAGTGGGTCCCACCAGCTGGGTTACTTTCCGATGACATTGTCTTCTTCTTCACCGATCTGTGACGGTTCGATTGGGGACTGTTTGGCTGAAGAAGACGATGATGAGTTCGGGATGGAATCGGAGAGCAGCCGGCGCATGTTAGCATACCGCCGGAGATACATTAGTTACGGTGCGCTTAGTAGTAACAGAGTGCCGTGTTCAAGGAGAGGAGCTTCATACTACAATTGCCGTCCCGGAGCTCAGGCGAACCCTTACCAACGTGGATGCAGTGCCATCACGCGCTGCCGTAATTGAAAACCCTCTACACAGTAAATTCCTCGATTTACTGTATTTACACTTTTTTCACCGTAGTGGTAAAAAAGTTAAAAATTCTTTTTGAGCTTTGTGTGATCTATTTACTACTATTATTATTATTATCGAGTATGGTTATTATTAATGTATTTGTGAATTGTGTGGTAGAGAAACATTCTTGTAGTTTTTTTTTGTATGATGTTGTAATAATATTTAATTTATCATGCCACTTACTATAATCTTTTACTATTTATTTGAAATAAATGAGGTTTTAGCACTTGTTGAGGAATTTTTTTAATTTTTTTTTGGTGGGATAATAATTAAGTTAGAGGTTATTTGTTTTGGCAAATGATTTTCTATTTGAAGTTGAGTTGGAATAGCAAATCAATTGTTAGACAAATATTAATTTGCAAATATGTCCAAAGTGCATACATATGTGATCTTATTCTATGTAAATGTTGCTTACTATGGAGTTTGATATGATAGTTTTTTTTGGTAGGTTTGAGTGTTTAATTAGAATAACTTGAAGTTTAGATGCGTAAATGAAACGTTCATGTCAATTTTAAATGTTTGTCTATAAGTTTAGCACCGAATTTAAGATACAAATAATAGCTCTGCCGTTTCTATGTTGAGATATGAGTAGGTTGAAGTGGAATCTCGTCTTGAGCTTAATACGGCAAATAAGTTACTCCCTCCATTTTTATTTATCTTTATCTGTCGTTCTTATTAAAAATAGTTATAAGTATTGTTTTCAAAATCAACGCATAAATAACATTACTAGCTTTGAAAATATGTATTGCTAAATAAAGATACAATGTAAAGTTACTAGCTACTCCTTAATTTATGAAGTTTGAGTAGCTGGTTAGAGTTGTGTAATATTGAAATTAGTTGTGAATGAATTATGTATTATTTAATGAAGTATATATATTGAATAATTAATTTTCTATCTACCTATCAAACGTAGTATAAATTATATGAAAATTATAACGTATTTCTTATCCATCTACCAAACAAATCTCAAAAGTTTTTAATACTTACTAGTTTCTATGTTCATTTTTATTAATATTTTGATGAGGTATTTATATAATACTCATTTCTTAACTAAATAAACTCAAGAAATAACTAGAGCCCAATTGCCATTTATTTTTCCGGAAGAAGGAAGAGATAGATTTATTTGGAATACAATAATTGAAAGGGGTATGAAAATGTGGAATATGGCACATCTACGCATAGACAGGCATTTAATACTATCTGAATGTGTGCACCACATTAATAAGAGAAGAAAAAAGAAAAAAAGAAGATTTATTTGTGTAGGGACAAGTGTTAATAATCAAAATTCAAACCTCACGAGTAAACTCTCTTTACTTTACTTTTTACCCATTCATAGACAAGACAATACACAAGTGAACCCTGTCATTATCATCTTTTCCATACACTAGTTCATTTACAACTGTGATCCAACCAATTTCCCTTCATTCTTTTTTGCCCACTTCCTTTTCATACAATTGCAAATATTTTCTTCTTTTTTTACTTTTTGAACAAGGATAAATGAATTTCTAAAATCTCAGAAAAATAACTCTTTGTTACACACCCTTTAATGTCTCATATGATTCATACCTAAAACGTTAAATTGATAATCGCATCGATGACCAGCACACAACCAGAAAAGGATAACACTCTTTTTTAAAGCTAAACAATCGTAACAAACACCACATAAACCACCTCGATGCATCGTCTTAGGCAGAATCATCAGCAGATTTTGTGTCATCTTTTGACTTCACTGCGGCCGAAGGTGATGAAGAACCTTCTTGGCCCATTTCAATTCTCAAATCATTGATGCTCTGCTCCAATTCATCAATTCGGTTCCCCATATCATCTAGTGCAGCATTGTCAAGGACTCCAAGTTGATCTCACAAAACAAAGACAGATATTTTGTATAATATACTAGTACTAGAGAGAATGACAAAGTAGGCATATCCAGCATTAAGATTGAAAACGAAAACTTGTCGTCAAAAAAAAGGCAATCAATCAGAAAAAACAGACCAGCAGGACATAGGGAAATCATCACATACGAATACACGAAAAAAAGATGACAGGAACTAAATTTCATGAAGCTAAAGAAGGCTAAATTCTGATTGAGTACCAGAACTGATATAATCAAATCTGGTTGAGGTGTACGGTGTACCAGAAGTCATACTAACTTGAAAAGTTATAATCAAATTGGAACTGAAGTAGAAAATGATTTCACGAGACCCTCGAGTCTCAAAACTGTGGGCACATTTCTAGTTCTTAAAATCAGAGCTTTATGACATGCTATATACAACCTACTTCATTTGTTAGATGACACTCATACACCAACTAATTAAACTAGATTAAGACCAATGACTAGTTACTTAGATAAAAGGAACAACAGATTAGAAAAGGATATTTTTTGAGATGATTGATTCAGACATAGTCTGAAACCTGGTTTGCTGCAAAGAGAGAACAAACCAGTTAGAAGATATATCAAATAAAAACTAGTGAAGGACCCAATTGGTGCAGAGAGGTAGACTCACCATTTGTTGAAGTAGATTCTGTACCTGCAAAGAGCAGAAAGGAAGTAGGAAAAGTTAGCTAGCAAAATAGATGTGTTTATTTGTGATGTCATATATAACATCGTGCTAGTGAATAACACTAAGCTGTTTATAAGGCCAATAAAGGAGAAACTAGCAGAGAACCAAATGTATCATGTGTCAGCCACCGAGAATTGCATCACAATTGGTTTTGATGTTTTTGTCCTAACATCATATAGCCACATTTAAATTTTAATTTAGACAGATTATAAGTGATCTGGTTAGCAGGTTAAAATTGCATTTAATGATGAAAATATCACAATAGAAACTAATGACTCCTGGATTCAACTTTTAAGACTCAAACTTCAGTATCAGAGAGGTTAGCAGATTGAGATGGATTATAGAAACCTTTCCAGATTATCATTGAGTATCGACTGGAGTAAAAACTCAGTCTATAACCTACAACAATAACAACAACGCCTCAATCCCAACCAAGTTGGGGTCGACTATGTGAATCCTCACCGTCCATGTCACTACATTTAGGCTTTCTCGGACCAATATTATGTAAAATAAAAATTAAAGGCGCCAGAGTTGTCAATATTTTCTACTCGCATATAAATCTCCCAGACAGGAAAATTCAATGTTTAACATCAATCAAATAAATTCAAATAGTAAAAAAACTTACAAATACAGTCATATCAGCGGTGCTTTGTTTTGTATTATCTGCATCCTGCCCATCCTGCAAGAAGATCCAATTCTTATGGGTCAGAAGGGAGCCAAGTTAAGAAGCTTATGAAGCAGAAGAAAAGTAGAAATGTATGTAACTGATCTTCCAACCTCCATATTACAAATTCTGTTTAAAATCCAGAAATCTGTTACTGTACTATTTATCTTATTTTCCAGAATAACTAGCTTTCAGCTAGAAGAACATAACCAGAAGTTCTCAGAGCACAATAATCCTTAACCTCTACCCTCTCTTAATCAATTATATTTCTGATCAATGTTTAACAGACAAAGATGTAAACTGAAGAATTAGTGAATCTAATTTCCCACAGATAATGCTGCTGAAGGTTTAGTCATTTGGTTATACTACGAAGTTTAATTGGAGTCTAGGAATTGTCTTATACCTAACAAAATTGCAAAGGAGAAAACCACGTTTTGAGATGTATGTTTCTGTAACTATTTTTGCACAGGCCTAGTACATTAGGCAGCTTGAATGATGTCAATACAAAAGTTACTGTGGACATTCTTCCATATGTAAATCAAAATTTGGCTACACTGGCTCTTAACAAAGCATGTTGTTGATGCCAATTGGTGTTCTATTAGAGTTAATAGTCACTGCCATTTTCTAACCTAGTGCTTCGACTCAACTGATTGAAGCTCAACTTAAGTGACAAGAAAGTTCACCATGATAGTTGTTTCAAAGTACACAAAGCCCGAGCTTATAAGTGAAATCATATAAATCCAAGTTTAATCAGTCAAGAATGCAAAGTAACACAATTTAGCCTCCAAACAATGTGTTATCACCACAACAAAGGTACAGTTTTATGTGAGTTCTTATGTAATATCTAGTCAGAAGAGTTTGTTGAGTAAGTAAGTGGAGTTTGTTTAAAAGTTGTTATTAGGGATGTCAAAACAAGCCCAAATATAGGCAACTCACCCAAACCAATTTCTATTTCAACCCATTTTAATATCTCAAATTTCAACTCAACCCGCCCATTTGACACCCCTAGTTCATATAGTCATGTGGATTAGCATTAGGGTATAAATGCTAACTGATTCTTGTAATAGCTAAGGTTTTGCAGAAATGAAAATCCCCCTGTCCTCCTACTTCTCTCTTCTTCATCTCATTTATCACCGACTCTTCTTAGCTCAAAGAACATAGAGTGAATCCTATCACATGCGTATGAATCTTCATACATTGAGCTGATTCAGCTCTATTTTACATACTAAAACAAAAGCAAATATCCATATCTCCAACTTCAAAAGAAGCTATCATATCCCTCTCCCTCAATGTATTCTTAAACCTTCTTCTTACACGGACTCCCACCTAACAAACATCGCAGAAGAGTTTCTTATTTGCTTAAACAAAGCAATACATGTGCCACATTTAATACAACGCTACTAAAACATTGTTCTAAATTATTTTGCAACCATATAATCTAACAGATTAAAGATATAAAATATTTAATAACACTTCAATTCATCTCCCAACCCTATGCTCTTATAAGAACCTCATTGTACTTCATTTTAACATACTGAAACTGTTTCAGTATGTTATACCAGTACCTTTTTAGTTATAAATATCTAATTTAAGACAAAAATTAGCCAGTTTCACATCGTACTCGATTCCTCATCCTTTCTAAATTTGCGAGTAGCATAATGAATTTTATCACTTACCAAAAGGAAGAACCTAATTTTTTTTTTCAAATTGAAAATAATTGGTCACAAATACGATTGAGTCTCAAATATTAAAAGGTGAATTAAATACTACAAATCAGCAACTAAACAGTAAAAAATTTACCTTATGTTGTGCAATAAAGTATATATAGATCGCGATGCGAAATGTAAACAAAGGAAATCAGGAATTCGATTGTAATAAAGGACCTAAATCTGAAGAAAATGAGGTAGGAATTTACTTGACATTCTGCTTCTGGACGAAATTGAGAGTGCTAGAGAGATGAGTCCTTACCATTTGTTCGTCGGAGAGAGAAGCTTCAGGTTAATCGGAGCAGAGAGAATAGGGAAGAGATTGTGAGTACAAAAATGGCGAAATTGTTTTTGTGAGGAAAGGGACTAAAATTTGAAACAAATATATTTGAAATTTGAAATGACCAAACTGGGCCCCCAACCCAATTATGCTTTCATGTGTAGAGGGAAAAAAAAAAGGATCTCTGATTAGAATTATTACGGGCAAATTATGTTCATCTTTATTTGTTTATATTATTTTGAGGTGTTTCAATGAATAATCTATAATATTATGTCTATTTTATTATTGTTATTAAATATTATTCATTTTTAATGTTTAAAATCTAAATGACTTATATTTAATAAAGGTAATTTGATAAAGTTATTCTTATCATTTACCGCTTCTTAATTCTTATGTCAAGTCAATAGCTGATAATTATTGCCCGGATAGAGGAGTACATTCTAAGTTTCTATTTAGTTGTCATCATTTTAAATTTCACGTCGATTAAGAAACTAGGTAAGTTTATCATTGTAGTCTTATTTAGTGTTCTCTTAAAGCTAAGTTTTCAATGGTTTTTCCATTCTAGATCTCTTGTAACACTTTCAACAATGGTTTTTTCTTTCCAGATCTCTCCTTCTCTCTGTCTGGTCCTTTTATCCTGTAACTTTTTTCTCTAGAAAAATTTCAAAAAGTAAAGCTCTTTATAAATCATTTTTCAAGTGAATTATTGAACAAGTTTTTAGCTTTGACGATTATCTAAACTAATCGATCAAAATTGGGAAAGTGGATTGAGAAAAAAATGTTATTATGAATATTGAAAGAAGATGATCGTGACAAGATTCATTATTGAAAAGGAAATTGAAGGTGTGATCATTACAATTATATGAGAATTTGTTACTAGATGGCAGATATTGGGAGGTGATGAATTTATCAGTGTATAATTAATATTGGATACACGTATTTAGATGGTATCTTTTCTTATTTGATAAATAAATCAATGTATATTTGATACAAGATACATGTCATTAGATAATATGTTGGTGTATATGCATTTTATTATTAAAATAAAATATTAAGTGCATATGCTAGTGGGTATAAATTGTGGGTGTAAAACTATAAATTGTGGTAAAAGTTTATATTGAGTTTAGTGTAGTGAAAGAGAGAGCTGAGAAATAGAAAATAAGTCTTCAACTATATTCACTATACAAAAGAGAATATTTGTATGTTAAAGGAAGGTGTTTTTATGTGGAGCTTTGGATTCTTCAACTAATCTAGAGTTGTTTGAGTTGTACATGTTGTTGGGTTGTTGTATCCTGGAGGGGACAAGTCAAGAGTTATACTGCTGGATCGATGTAGATTATGCCGCAGTGGGCTTGAATCTCCTTAAAGAGAGCGAGATATTTGTGCCTCAACCTAAATAATTATTTATTCATTTTGTTAATTTTAATTTCAACTGTAATTTATTATATTTGTGATATATTACACCATCATAATAATAATTGTATCTTCTTTTTCTAAGTATGTGTCTATGTGCAAATACACTTGATACATTAGTACTTATTTGATAAGTAAATATATTGTGTCTATTTGATACTAGATACATGTATTTGGATTGATGTTCCTATATTGAAGATACATTGGATACATCAATGCATATTTGATACTAGATATATCTATCTATGTACAAATACATTAAATATACTATGCATATATTTTTTTACATATCAAACACAAGAAAATAAGTAAGAACCTTATTTATTTTTCTAATAAATATTTCTTTCACGCCAAACACACCTAAATTATTTCAAATTCAATCAAAAGTAGTTTATAGTATGTTTATACTTTACAATGATGATAAACAAAATATAATGTCTAGTTCCAAATGTAATCAATGTATTGTAGGTCATACTTTCGAGAAGGATTATCAATCTATAACGAAAGTTCTTATCGTGACAACAATTAATCGAAACAACCTAATGATGGAATATATTCCAAAATAATTATCTAAGAAGAAATGTTATGCAAGATAAAATTAAACGCATGACATATCATTTCTATTAAACTAATTTAATTGTTTAACTTTGTGGACTCATTTTCATTTTAACAATCAAGCCCTTTGAATATGTGAGCTAATAATCCGTCTAGCTTTCTTCTAAAATTAGGTAATTGAAATTTATATGTTCACGTACTATTGTGATTCATGTCTTAGTTATATATATATTTTTTAAATTATATTTTAAGTATTTTTTTAATAATTATATTTCAATATACTTAATTATGAATATATCTAACATGGGTAAGTATAAGATATTTTTAATGTATATGAATCATAAGTGTTAGATTTTAAATCATAAAGGATGTATTAGAACCAATTCATATTATAATAGTGTTTAGTATAATCAATATATTTGCTTAATACATAAAAAAATAACTCTTTAAACCTGTCAATAAATTTTATTTAGACATTTAAACTATTATTTATTCCAATTAAACCTTTGTGTGTTCATCTCAATAAGTCATAAAAATCTCATGCATATTACAATTGAGTCTAATTTATATAATTATATGTGATAACATATTCTATTTGATTAACTTAATTATCTAACTTACTTTGAGGAAATGCGTAAATTAATTTTCAAATTTAAATAAAAAATATGTAAAAAATATACTTCATCATATATTCCAATTGTCAACTAAAACAAATTACAATTTAAATATCTAAATAAATATTATTAGCAAATTTTATTTTATTTTTGTATTAAGAGCATGTTTTTCATTGCTGTTGGGAGGCCAAAAATACTTATTTTGAGAAGAAACAAAATATATTTTTTGAAAAATTAGGTGTTTGGCAAATCAGTAAAACTACTTTTAAATAGAAGCAGAAGTAGTTTTTATGCGATTGAGAAGCTAAATATTTTTACTTCTTAAAAAAAGCAAAAGCTGGAAATTATGTTTTTCAAAACTAAAATATCATTTTCATATATCCATATTTACCAATATATCCCTTATTAATTAATTAACATATCTCCTAATTTTGGTTAAGTTTCATTTAAAAGATTTTTATTTTTATTTTTATCTAATAATTTTTTATTATTTTACATTTGTATATTATTATTTTATATTTTATATATTATTTGCAGAATTAGAAAAAAAAAGAAGGTGACAACAATATTTTTACAAGATTAGAAACAAAAAAGATAACAATTAAAAATTTCATTCCTCCCAAAATATTTATTGAAAATTTGAATATGTACATTTTTATTTAATAAAAATAATTAAAATATTTACCATAGATACAATAAAACCTCTATAAATTAATATAGGTGGGACCATGAAATTTAATTATTTTATAGAGATATTATTTAATTGATAAATTAATATTTATTAATTTAAAGAATGATTTGAGATTTAATGAAGGTTAATTTTGATTATATAAAAATCATTGTATCTTACTAATTTATGTATCATATTTATTGATTTCACATATAAAAAAAAAATTATACATAAAGTACAACGAATACATCATAATCATTGTATCTTACTACACTACAAAAAACACCCCAAATTGCCAATAGATTTTATTAACAACTTAAGTTGGTTAGTATTCTACTAACAAATTACCAACTTATTTCTAACTAAATTATATTTTAAAACTTAACAACGAAATTCTAACAGATTACCAACTCAAATCTTACTAACTAAGTATTTTAGTTGGTAAATATGGCGGGAAAAACTGGCGCCAAATTTAGCAACATTCTATCAATGGATTACCAACTGAAATATTACTAATGCACACCTTTTGTTGGTAATATTACCAACGAAGTATATATTGGTTGGTAAATATGACAAAAAATTGTTTATATAATTTATTAACATGTTACCAATGAATTACTAACCAAACATTTACCAACGGCAAGATTGTGTTGCTAAATTTACCAACCAAATATAAATGTGTTGGTAAATTAGTAACGAAATATAATTTGTTGGTAAACTTGTCAACCAATATCCAATTAGTTGGAAATTTTGCCGACGAATAAAAATTGTAGTTAGTAAATTACTAACATCATTAAAATAGTTGGTAATATACCAACCGATCATTAATCCATTGGTAAAATTTACCAACATATTAATTATTAGTTGGTAATATTACATATGAATGTTTAGTTGAATAGTAACTATTACCAACTGTGATAAAATTTGGTAAATTATTAATTACTAACTTATATTTGAATAGTTGGTAAATTTACCAATTGAAGTTAATTTTTTTGGTAAATCAGTGTCTAGTGTTGAGGGTTTCATATTCAGTTTGTGTCGTTAGGCGTTTTAACTTTTAAATTTTAGCCAAAATTTGACTTTGGTCAATATTTTTGGTAAACGTGCTCAGATTAGAACTCTGTTAGTGTCATTAGCTTCGAAAGGTCATTTTTTATCCAACAGGAAGGTGGTTCAAGTTTTGAGGCTTCCGTTTTTTGTTTGTGCCTTTAGGTGTTTTAAATCTTATGTTTTGGACAAAATTTGACTTTGGTCACTATTTTTGTGAACGTGCTCAGATGAGAATTTCGTCAGAGTAATTAATTCCAAAGGTCATTTTTTATCTAATAGGATGGTTGGTTCGAGTTTTGAGGCGTTCATTTTTAGTGTGTGTCGTTAGGTATTTTAACTTATAAATTTTGGCCAAAATTTAACTTCAGTCAATATATTTGATAAACGTGCTCAGATGAGATTTTGTTAGTGCAGTTAGATGGGGAAGGTCATTTTTGATGTAATAAGATAGAGGGTTTGGGTTTTAAGGCTTCCGTTTTTAGTTTGTGTCGTTAGGCATTTTAACTTTTAAGTTTAGGCCAAAATTTCACTTTAGTCAATATTTTTTGGTAATCATGCTCGAATTGAAATTTTGTCACCGCAGTTAGCCATATAAGTTCAATTTTTCTCTCATAGGATGGTTTGTTCGGGTTTTGAGACTTTTATTTTCAGTTTGTATCGTTAAGCATTTTAACTTTTGGCTAAAATTTGAATTAGGTCAATTTTTTTGGGAAACATGCTCAAATTTGAATTTCGTCAGCGCGGTTAGCTCTGGAGGTCATTTTTCGTC